TTACCCAGCGGTGCCAGAATCGATCACCGAAGAGTTGTGTTTGGTGCCAGCGTTGCCTTAGATCCAGCTCGTCTCTGCAAACAGGTTTGTAGCCATCTGTCGAGCCCAGCAACAAATGATTTGGAGTGAGGGCGATGTCGTCCGATGACTCGAGACTTACAAAGGTCAGCGGGCGCGAGTTGATAATATACTCTGCTTCCATCAGCGCGCTACGAAGACTTTCGTCGTTGAAAGAATACATCGGGCAGATGCCTTTCAAAATTGTTTTCGTGGTTCGGACGAGTCGTTCCCAGGCGCCTCCCATATGGGGTGCGCCGGGTGGGTTGAAGCGCCATTTAATGCGGTCGTATTTTATGGTTAGCTTGTCAAAATCGATCTTCATCAGCTCCTCTCGTACAGCTTTTTCGGTGGCCCTAAAATTCGTGCCGTTGTCCGAGTATATTTCCATCGGCGTACCACGGCGTGCCATAAAATTGCGTAAGCACATGATGCAGGAGCTAGTATCCAAACTGTAAGCTATTTCGAAGTGTACTGCTCGGAGTGTCAGGCAAGTAAAAAGCACACCCCATCTCTTCTCCTTATGCCGGCCGACATTTACCAGTATGGGTCCGAAGTAGTCAACGCCTGTATACGTAAATGGTCTTGCGAAGCTGGCCAATCTCGCTGCGGGTATTGGCGCCATTTGTGGAGGTTCAGGCACGACGTTATTTATCTTACATTTTTGGCAGGATTTACGCACAGACTTGTATAAAACGCGCAAACGTGGCACGTAATAAGAGGCCATTACGTTGTTTATGGTCGTCTCATGAGCCATATGGTGATTTTCGACGTGATATGCCTTTACTATTAGGAACGAAATGTAGCTTTCCCTTGGCATAACGATAGCGTCTTTCCTGCAGTTGATGGAGTCGGCTCTACCTTGAGTCCTCATGATCCCGTTTTCATCGAGGTAAACATTTAATCCAGCCAATCTGCTTTGTTTGCTTAGCGATAGCTTTGCACGTAGTAAACTAATTTCTGCGGAATATGCTTCAGCTTGCGCTTGCTTGAAGAGTAGGTTGATCGCCTTTTTGATCAGTTCCGGAGTAATATTGTTCGGTTTGGTCCGGTTGAGTCGTTTAGCGTTCAATCGATCGAAGTACAAGAGGAATGTTGCTACTGCTCTGTATAGGCGACGCCACTCTGAGAAATATTCCACGTTAAATTTTATGGCATAATTTTTTCGAGTTACGTGTAAGTGTTTTCTCAGCTCCGTCATATCTGTTTCTTCGAAATGCTGTGGTTGTTGCGGCCACTAGCTCTCGTACAATTTCAGGAACTCTGGCCCCTGCAGCCACTGCTTAGTTCCCACCGTACTATTGACCTTCGTCGCCCCATCTGCCACGTTCCACTTTGTTGGAACCCATCGCCATTGTATTGTTGGAGCTCTCCAGGACCTCTCCGACGTGATGCATAACGAACTGTTGGAAGTTACGGGGGTCCATCTTTAGCCACTGTAACACCGTTTTGGAATCGGACCAGTATGTGGCGCTTCCGATTTTCAGACCACGTAGGTTGATGATCTTTTGAGCCAAACGTACACCCATTACTGCGGCTTGGAGTTCCATACGTGGAATGGACATCGGCTTCAGCGGTGCGACCTTACTTTTTGCAGCCACCAGTGTCACGTCGACTATGTCGTCTCGATGTACCCGCACATAAGAGGCCGCGGCGTATGCATATTCGCTCGCGTCGACGAACGTGTGGAGATCTACCCGAGTCGATTTAGTCAGATTCGGGGAATAGCATCTAGGAATCTCGATTGCCTCTACATCTGGCAGAAGTTGCTTCCACTGACGCCAGGGGTGGTGTAGTGACTCAGGCAGCTCTTCATCCCATCCTATGTTGGCTCGCCACACATGTTGGAGGAGTATTTTTAAGCCGATTGTGTGACACGACAGTATCCCCAGGGGGGTCGAAAATTGACATGAGGACCTGTAGGACCTCTCTTTTGGTGGGGATTAGGCCATCCATCAGTACGTCACGTCGCAGCCGGGCGACCCTGAGAACATATTTCAAAACGTCAGTTTGTGGCACCCAATACATACCTAACACCTTTTCTGTGCCACCAAATTGGACTGGCGCTTGCGCTGCGAAGTCGGCATCGAGTAACTGCATAAGGACTTCAGTGGAGTTCGAGGTCCAATTTCGGATTTCGAATCCACCAGCTTGATAAACCTTGCGAACCAGAGTTGCCACGTCGAGAGCCTCCTGCTCGCTGTCCGTACTGTCGATGTAGTCGTCGACATAGTGAGCCTTTCGGATGGCCTCGTATGCTTGAGGATACTGCTGGCGGTATGATTCTGCATTCTTGTCACGTATGTAGTGAGCAATGCATGGCGCACAACTTATGCCAAAGGTCATTGCGTGCATTACGTACACGTTTACGTTGTTTCTGGCTTTGTCATACCATAGGAATCGTTGGGCATGTCTGTCCTCCGCGCGGATGTTGATTCTGTGGAACATTTCCGCGATGTCCCCGCAGACCGCCACCTGGCCAACCCGGAACGCGAGCAGGATCTCGATAAGTGGATTCAAGAGATCTGGTCCGGTAAGCAGAAAGTCGTTTAGACAGACCCCGTTAGATTTCGCAGCTGCGTCCCAAACGAGCCTTATTTTATTTGGCTTATTGGGATTTAGTGCTATGAAAATTGGCAAGTATCAAGTTTGCTTGTTCTGGTTGGTAATCTCCGTTTCCGATAGCTCGACCGCATAACCCTTTTGCAATAGGTTACGAATTTGCACAGAAATTTTGTCGTACAAATCTGGCTCTCGCTTGATTTTAGCTTTCAGACAGTTAAGGCGACTGAGCGCGTTGGTGTAACTTTCTGGTAGCGTGTCATTACTGTTGCGCCATAAAAGGCCGACTTCAAATCGGCCATTCACCTTGATACATGTCCGGTCGAGAATTTCCTTCGCTTGCTGGTCGTCGGCCGACTGTACGTTGTGAATTTTTACGGGATCTAGGCTAAAGCTGTCTTCTGTTCCATCTACAGTCGCAGTGGTGCATAGTCACGTAACTCGATGCGGTCGATGTACCTTGTACGCTCCATCCAAGTAAACATTTAGAAGCGATGGGTTCGTCCCTTCTGCCTTCACGAATTCTGCGTGGAACAGCAATCTTCCAGTTGTCGGCCCCAATAAGTAGAGTTGGCCGAACGTCGTAATATGACTGGAGTGGTATGCCTTTTAAATACGGATATTTACTACGAAGTTCACTTACGTTAATCGTTTGCTTAGGTAGAGCGATATTTTTTATAGTATGTACGTTGTTGAGCCAATACAATTTGCCGGTATTTGGAGCCGAGATCTGTATTGATGCCCTTACGGATGCACTTTCGTTGCGTGTAGTTTCGCTGGTCCATTGCAAACATATAGGTGTTGGTACTCCTTTGATATCGAGTTTTTCGAACGCCGCTTCGTCAATGAGAGACACGGAAGAACCTTCGTCAAGAAACGCGTAAATCTTAATGGTTTTGCTGGCTGTATGAAGGTTCACGGGCATGATGCGGAAATATTGGCTACTGGAGTTGTTACTTCGGTGCGTGCTCACGTGGGCTTGGTCCTTTTCCGCGTCGACGGGAGTTTCGGTACCTTCGCTGTGGAGTAATGGATGATGCTTTCGAGAGCAGCCATTTATGCCGCAACTCTTTTTTGAGAAGCACCCTTTGCGATGGGGTTTAAGGCATCGATAACACGCTCCACCTTTTTTTACTGTTTCCCACCTCTGCTGTTCGGAGAAGCTATGGAATTTCCCACACTGTGCAGCGCAATGTTCAACTTCACCGCACGCGATGCACTTCATTGTCGAACGCTTGGGTTGCGTGTCCAACGATTCACAAGTTGGTCCTTGGGAACGGTTATCCCTTTGCGGAATGTCCTGTTTCTTTGGAGGAGTGCACCCACCTTGGCTATGCGTGTTGACTGAGCTGGTTTTGTAGAACGAGGGTGATACTACCGTAGAGGCCGCCTCCGCCATTCGATAGAGCCAGTCGCTGAATTCTTTAATGGTTGGTGAAGTGCCTCGCCGCGGATGCATCGCCCAGCTCAATTTATGCTGATTGGGCAATTTGTCTACTAGCTCTTTTACCAGCATTGGATTGTTGAAATGCGCCTCCAGCTTACATGTCTCCATTGTGGCGCAGATATTGCGTACGGCCAACGAGAATTCTATGAGAGATTCTAGTTTGTCTTTAGGCGGTAGCAACTTCCTTACCCTCTCAATTGTTCTCTCTAAGATGTACTCCGGCCTACCGAAGAACGTTTTTAGTACGTCGATGACGTCGGGAACCATATCTGGTAAGAGCAGCTTATCTTTGACTAGTTCGCGAGCCTTGCCCCTCAGGCACCTCTGCAATCGCAGCATATTTTCAACGTTGGAAAAGCCTGCGGCTGAAGTGCTATGGTCGAAGGTGCTAACGAACATAGGCCACTCCTCGGGGTCGCCGCTGAACGGTGGCAAGTCTTTTGCAATAGATTGTCGCGCAGCTATTTGAGAACTTGTTGGACCGCTGCTTGTTCCGATCTGTAAGCTTGACATGCCTGCCGAGTTCATATTGGCAAGTAGTCCGTACTTCTGTTCGATGTAGCGCTCCTCCGCGGCTCTTTTCTCCTCTAACATTGCCAACGCGAGTCGATGTTGACGGTTTGTTTCGTCGTTGGCTGGTGACGAGTTAAATGCGACTTGTGTTGGAGCACGTTCATCCAGTTTCAACCCCATAGGAACGCTTCGATGGTCATCGCTGATCACATCTGCTTCGGGTGGTGGGAGTGGACCACGTGGTACTTCGTGAGGCGCGGTGGTCGTGGCTGTAGGTGTTTGTGACATTGGATCTTCGGGAGTGCAAAGAACGTTTGCACTATCGCCACCTTCGGTACAAAGGGAGCAGTTCCAATTTTGATGTTGTACGCTCTCGTCTACACCTACGCACTCAAAGTGGTACCAGAGTTCACACTTGTCGCACTGTACCCAGTTCTCTGTGCCGTCTTTATTTGACTGTTTCCCGCAAACTTTGCATACGCACATGCCTTGTGACTACGCTGCTAAAACGCTGAAATTTGCGATCGCTTGTTTGCCCAAGTGAATGTATACGTATGCCGCGAGTGTCTGAATTTGACGGCTTGTATGAAAGAACCGTTGCTGGAAGTCTCAAGAATTGCGCTTCTGGATTTTTCTCGATCTACTTATGTATATGCCGATACCGGCCGATGCCGTTATGTCGTTCTGCTGAAAACGCTCACTTGTATGAATCCACACGTACACTTGCAGGTGAGCTCGGCCCCAGTTAATGATTTAGGTTGAAATTTTTTTAAAGAATTGTTACGGGGAAAAAGAAAGAAAAGTCCTTGTTTTCTATAGCAGTCT